TTCTAGATGAAGGAACAACGACGGTAACTGGTACGGCTATTAAGTGGAAGGAAGGCATGGTAATGGCTATACCTGCGTAACTTGTTATGTTAGAACCGACCCCTCTTCCATGGAAACATGATTAATAGTTGCAATTTGAAGGGTGCGGCTAATGGCGGAACTCCTGAGAAGAAAGGAAACAAGCGGCCACCGTCTGAGGAAAGGTAGTTGTCACTCACTTTCCTGAGAATTTATCTGACCTTCTTGGCATTCTAATTCCACGTTTTGAGGTGTGATCCTGATGTTTGAGAACAAAGTGACTCTAAGCAGTTACAAAGATTTTTTTAGGAAAGCATTGTTGGGAAATAAAAAGGTGTACTAAGGAAGTTCTTATTTACTGATTTTTGTTCCATGCATTGCTTGGTTAAATTTTCCAAGATGTTAACATGTAGTTCAACTTCTGATCTGGTGAGAAAAGTATCTTAGATTTTTTTCTTACTGTATATCATATCACCAATAACCATATGCTGATGGATGCAGCTTTTTTAGTTGGTTTTCTGAAACTCAGCTAAAAGATATTGCAGATGGGCTTAGTGATGAGGTAATTGCTATATTCGACTGCTTGAGACTATTTACTTTGTTGCATTCTTATTGCTCATCGTTTGATGAGTTCCTAATTATGGCAATATATGTAAACGATTGCTGAGATTATTTCATCTTTTGTTATTTTTCCGAATTTCTTATCCGAGACTTAAAACATTATATAGTGCAACAAATTTAAGTCTATCCAAAAGATCAGCTTCTTTCAGGTATTTTATATGTTTCCATGTGACTGCAGGTGGGAGAGATAATTAAGGACGACTTATGGCCCAATCCACTGAAATATTTTAACAATGTAACATGTTACCTTCCTTTCTTGGTTATGTGACGTGATTCCCAGCCTTCTTTCTTCTTCAAGCTAAGAGAACTTGGTGCTTTGTTTGTAGGAAGCTGATGAAGAAGAATCCGATGGAGACGAGGACGATGAAGAGGTAAACATTGATGAGATTATACTACCTTCCTTTTTATAGTTGCTTGATTTGGACCTTCTAGTTTTGTGAAGCTTTTCTGACTTGCCTATCAAATCTTCTGATTTTTTGGGGGGTTTAAATGTACTATGATGTTGTTGCTGTCCTTTGGTGCATTCTTATCTCACTGTTCCTTGTTAAAATTTGAAACCTTTATTCACTAAATAGATGGTGCATAGGTCATGGATTAGCAATTTTAGATCTGAATTTTTATTGCCTTGAATTTTATCAGCCTAGGTACTACTACTATAAGTCTTAACTCCAATCATAACCTTTTCCTTTCAAGATGCTACAGTCAGTATAACACAAGTTTCATAAAGCTAAGTTGCTCAGACACGGGTGCGGATCTAGAGGCCAGATCCTTCGAGATGTAAATTCTAAGATTCAGGGATACGGATCCTAGTACGGATACGGGTGCGAGGAGCCAGCTAAAAATAATTCAAAAAAATAAAAAGTATAAAAATATCTCTAAATTATGAGAAATTTTGAGGAATACTTACATATAGCTTGTAAAGTGTAGTTTTTTTTTTATTCTCAAGTTGTAGATAAGTAAATGATTGACTTCCTAGATAAGGCATACTATTTTCTTCCCTAGTTTTGGTTCTAATTTGGGGAATCAAATTGTATCTCGTCTCAAATTTCTCCGTCCGTCGTGGTCAAAGTATCGAAAAGTGTTTGACCAGATCCGGTACGGATCCCATACCCACACGCATACTAGTGTCGTGTCGACACGGGTGCGGCACCTAAATTGCCGTGTCGGAGCAACTTAGTCATAGAGTAACATGGAAACTGATGCATTGGTGGTGAAGTTGACTCTGTTAGGATTTCTTCGGAAATAGTGATGGAACGTGGGAATGTCGATGATCATAGTTAGTGTGTGAATCGCCTTAGAATGAAAAAAAGAAGAGGATTTACACGTGTCTGAAAAGGTGATGGGACTTAGGCAACAGATAATGAGAGGGTAAGTTGAGGGATTAGGGGAAGTAACGTACAATTCTTTTTTCTGCTGAAGTGGGGGAGATATCTACACTTTTAGAGGTAGTTTAGTGCCTTTGCCTCCAGGATACAGAAACTGACTTTTCTCGAACACATATATTCATCTTTTACCGTCAAGAAAGTTGTTAAAGAAAGCGAGTTGGGGTAAATTGGGAGACAAGCCTTTTGGAGTACAATAAATTTAGTCAAAGCTTTAGCAGAAGTCAAAGGTAGGAAATTGCATATGATATTCCTAGTTGTTTATTTGTTTGACTTATCCTGAGGAAACAAGACCTTAGAGAAAACTAGCTCATTACTCTAACCATAGGTAAATGAATTATGATTTTAGGTGTGCTGAAGGTTTGCTATAGAATTGCTTCTCGTCTATGCATACTGCAGAAAGGAGTTATATGATCCAGACAACAGTTAAATTAGTGATTTAAATCTAAAATTACATCTAACATGTCCACAACTTATCTTATGGGCAGGGTGTTATTTACATAACCGAGGTTGAAAATGAATTAACTTAAGGAGATTGAAATGAATTGCCTCAATGCTTTATGCTTTTCAGCTATTGTTGTGTATGCTCTAATCTGAAAATGCTATGACAGTTGAAGTTTGGTGGTTATAATATCTTATATAATGGGCTTTTCAACTAATTTTTTATTCCTATCAACCAGGGAGACAATGATGAGGAAGATGAGGATGATTGTTGAACTCCTTGTTAGCTCTTTTATTTATCCCTTCTTCCAAACTTTGCTCATATCAGTGTCAAATATAATTTTCAGTTGTTGCATACTCAGCCTCATAGGCAACTTCGACATATGATAAGACAGTTTAAAAACCTATATTGTAGCTAGCCAACTTCTGTTAGATTTATCTGTGATGAATATGGTAGCTGTTTTCGTGCCCCCGAAACTCTTTAATCCCAGCCTCATTTGATTGGCAAGTTGTACTTTTCTTTAGTAAGCATGTGCTCCACATTGTGGTGTTAGGTTAAAAACTGCTCTTTGATCAGTCATTCAGCAGCCACCGGCCACTAGATCCAGGAAATTCACCTTGTTTTCAAACCTGGCGGCTCAGTTGATTCGCGGCTTTCTTCTCATTCCCTTCCCATTTTTCTTATATAGTCCGTTTATCAAGTAATTAATACGCCAGTGCCTACTTGTGATTGGTTGAAAAGCTCCTTCCCGTTTTTGCTGGGAAGAGGTTAGTCTCAAAGCAAATGAAAGCGTTTGATTTGATGTTCTCCCAAAAAAGCCAAACTCCTGTAGGCTTATATCTCTTGCATATGAATTTTGCTGATGGGCATGCTTTTGTGGTTTTTCTTTTGAACAATTCTTTATTCAATTTCTTCAAAACTTATCCCCAAAAAGAGACTTAAGCCGTCTGTTAAAAACAGATTTTGATTTCCTAAAATCAAACGAAAATTGAAAGCTATCAGAAAGGGTAAAATCATAGTAATGTTAGAAAGACGTCAGTGTTTCGTCATTCTTTCTTTCCTTTTTTCCGATCTTCTTCTAATGTCTACTTTAATTCTTAAGTTCTGCATTATCATTGCTTCATTTTTTGCGTCATTCTAAAACAGCAACATAAATGGCTAGTATTGCTATGAAGTTTAGTTGGTCAAGGACCGCAACTGAATGATACATAATGAAAAATTACCGTCAGAATATGGAAATGATTTGAATTGGAGGAATACATGATAATTAATTCCTAAAGTTCTTATTGTGCGAAGCAGAGTGCACTTTTGTGAAAAAATTTCGCATTTGATCTTCAGATTTATTACACTGATAATGTACAAAGATAAATATTTTCTTGGTTAAATATTTATATTTTTCTTAAAGTTAAAATATTTATATAATTAATAGTAGTAATTACAACTACTAGAAGAAAACTTTTATGTTGGATTGTTGGTAATGGCCATTAGCGAGTGATGGCATAAAATGTGCAAAAGAAAATATTTATCTATTAAGTTAGGGTTAAGAGCATAGCAGAGATTTACAAGACTATTAAGTATTTTTAATATTATTTGTGCAAAACATATGATGGTTAATTATGGTTGGAATACTAATAATTGTAGTTAAATAAAGTGACATGTGTCATCTGTTTATTGGACGGGTGTAAAGCATAGCAGAGATTTACAAGACTATTAAGTATTTTTAATATTATTTGTGCAAAACATATGATGGTTAATTATGGTTGGAATACTAATAATTGTAGTTAAATAAAGTGACATGTGTCATCTGTTTATTGGACGGGTGTAAAGCATAGCAGAGATTTACAAGACTATTAAGTATTTTTAATATTATTTGTGCAAAACATATGATGGTTAATTATGGTTGGAATACTAATAATTGTAGTTAAATAAAGTGACATGTGTCATCTGTTTATTGGACGGGTGTAAACACCTGGTGCGCCATAAGAAACTATGTATTCCAGGATCTTCTGATTTTTAAAATACCCAACATCTTAAATTGTAATTTTTTTAATTGCTAGTTTTAAAAAATTGCGCTAAAGAAATTTTGGCTTTGCACTTGGTTTGTAAATCCTTTTCTGAGTCCATAGTCTATTACAAAACAGACTTTTTATTTTTACTAGGTATGATAAAGTATGTCTACACACAACCTTTTTCGGTCCCCACTAGTAGAAAAACACTTCCAATTAAGTGATAACACTCCATCCAAAAAGGTGAATAACAGATATTCTTATGCAACGAAAAACATATAAAGATCATTATGAGGTGAATCATAATGTGTTATGCATGAATAAAAATAGTGAATTTGTTATCTCAATTTAGTTGAATAAAAGTTGTAATAGAGAGATTTTTACGCAATAAAAAATATATAAAGATTATTATAAGGTGAATGATATTATTATTTTTTATAATAATCTTATAACACTAAATTAAATTGATAGTATAATTTAGTGTAAATACCAAAAGAAATACTGCTAGGACTTATAGCCCATAGGCAAAGGGGGCAAAATATCCCAGTCCCAGTTTTCACTTGTCAGCTCTTTATCCACACTTTCCCTCTTCGTCCATTGAACAAACTCTGCAAATTTGAAGCTTTGCTTCACAAATTAAAAATGCAAGTGATAGTATCTTCTAACCAAACAACACCTCCTCTTCACCCCAACCGTAATCAACAATCAACCATTATCACAAACAACTCAGTATTTTTGGGCCGTAGAGAGCTCTGCTTCGATAGCATTTCTTCGGCCTGCTCTGCTGATCCCTCCACTCCGCACCCCATTTCCGCCCCTCCTTCTACCGCTTTCACTCCCAGGTACTCTTTGCCCGCATTGTATTACATACTGTAGTAGACTTGAAATTAATAAAAGTTGCAGATTGCTCCTCCCTTTTTAATTTTTATGACTGTGTTTAACTGGACACTTAGTTTAAGAAAACAATGCAGATTTATGATGAAACAAGATGAATTTAGTATTGGAGATTTAATCTCCATATAAAATCCAGCATTAATATGTACAATGTCTGCTTGCTACTTTTTTCCCATTATAGATAATACCTGCATAAGTTATGCAGAATCTTTGTATAAATTTATGCGGGATAGAACTTGGAATAAGAATGTGGGTATTATTAGTATGTGGATTAAAAATACTAGAATGACAACAAACTCTCAGAAGTAAACAAACTTTTATTTTGTTTGAAAAGAAAGACCGCAATTTTATTTATTTGATCAGTAAAAGAAAGGTTTGTAATATGGGCATGTTTGCCCTCCCTATTTGCTTAAACTTTTAGATGAGGTAGTTTATAAAAGTCAGCACCTATGTAATTCTACTTTTTCTTGAGGTTCCTATCTAATACTTGTATTATCACTTGATTTCATATTCTTTTCTGTAATGACTAATGTTACAGGGGTAGTGGAGATAATGGCACTTCTTTGGTTGAACAACTACGGAAAAGCTTTCCTTCAGCCACGCGCAGGATGTTGTTAACAAACTTTTTCATGTATTCATGTTATCATCCTTCAAGGTACTTGTCAGGTTGGCACATTCTAGCTGTTTGTTTCTTTTTCTTTCACTTGTCAACTTTGAAGGCTTTTGCCAGCTTTGAGTTCTGTGTTAGACCTCACAATTAAAGTCACATATCTTTTAGCACATTTGATCACATTAATGAATATATTTGGCATTTTCAGCTCGTTACATTGTATTCTAAAATTAGCAAGATATTCCTTATGTATTGGATTCCATTCACCCCACGGTTCGGAAATAATGATTGGCTCTATCTATAAAGATTTTGGATTTGTTCATAAATGATCAAATTATATTTGGTCTTGTTTCCACCTTTTCGGTCATTCTCGATACAATTTTTAAATATTGGATTTTCCGCTTTTCATATTCAGAAAAGGAAGTCTCCGCTTTAAAGCAAGTTGCCTAGGTTCTTAAGAAAGATTTTTTGTTTTGTAAAGCGGAATTCTCCTTTGGCTCGATCTTTAATTGAAGTGTAGCATTATGGAGACTCTGTGAGCTTCCCAAAACATAGCTGGTCTCAGTACCAAAAAAATAAGGAGGGGGATTTAGGGTATAGTGATGAATCTTTGAAAGTAGTAGTAGAATGGAGCTTAAATAGAGTTAAATGGATGTGTAGAGTTTATATATTTACTCCATCCAACAAGAGCTATAGTTGATTGATTATAGTAAAAGGAAACTCAACTGTGGGTTTGCAAATATGCAACTCTGCGTGCCCTTCCCCCCAAACCCCAACAAGCAAACCCCTGCTTTTATGTGGTTGGCGACTGAAAAATGCAAAACTTCATAATAGTTTGCTTCATCCTGATCATTAGTTGAATTTTCATCCTTTATGGTTCTAATCATGTAACCTACTTTTTCATATACAGCACTTGCTTTGGGGGATCCGTCTGTCACAGTTGAACAAGTTACACCTTCTACTTTTCCTTCCGCAGCACTGTTCCCTTCCGAGGTACACTTTCATCAACTGTTCAACTTATTCTTTATTGTTTTTGTTACATTCTGATATATAGATCATAGATCACAGTTTATTTGATACGTGTCTACTTGGCAGGAAAGAGTTGTCGAGCTCTTTGAGAAGAATACCTACTGTGTTGTCAACATATTTGATGTAACCTTGAGACCTACGCTTAATGTTACTGGTGCAGTCGAGGTAACTTTTGTAGACGTGTGCAAGCATTTACTTTTCCCTTTCAGTGTTACGCTTGTTAAACTTCTTTGGTAGTTTATCTTTGATAATCACTTGGAAGTAAAGATTCTTATGTCCATGGATTTACAATCTTCATGCATATGGTGCCTCAACCAACTCACATTTTTTGTCCTTCGATTAAGTAATTAATCTGTGTTTGAAAGCAGATATATTCTTTATGTTTAAAAAATGGCAGATTCCTGAAGGAAATGGTTCAGGGGTGATTTGGGACAATGAAGGCCACATTGTTACTAATTACCATGGTAAGATCACTTGAATATGGTACCTGAGCGCATTAGTTATTTCTGTAATATACACCCTGCATCCCAGAAAGAATGAAGGCGTTTGGTGTATGAGAATCAAACTATTTAATTTTTGGTGCGGCAGAGGAAATGAATGTTTCTTAAAGTTGGGGCCTAATAAAGGCTTCATTGTCTGAAAAAATAGAATTGAATTCTTTTTGAGAAGGAAAAATAGAATTGAATTCTATGACTCAAAAATCAGCTTCAGTTTATTAGATGGGCTATGCAGTTCTTGGTTAAACAGTTTTCTTTATATGTCCAGTGATTGGTAACTCCCTTTCTAGAAACCCAAGCCATGGGGAAGTAGTTGCGCGTGTTAATATTCTCGCTGCAGAAGGGTGAGTTGTATTCTATTTTAACGAAGTTCATTGGTTGATGCTTTAGCAGCCATTTTGCATATTCTTAAATGGGATGATGCAACTTCATCCTACTCTCCATCTAATGCCTTGACTCTCTTAATTTTATTTTGTTTCCTTCTGAAGGGTGCAAAAGAATTTTGAGGGTAAATTGATTGGTGCAGACCGTGCCAAGGATCTTGCTGTATTGAAGGTAAATATTATTCTCAGAAGCATGTTTTGTTCAAAGATGGAGGATTCTTATGTTCATGGTCAATATTTGCTTTCATTATGTGATCATGGTCTTATATTCCTTGTAGTTGTAGTTTGAGTGTCAATTACATTTTTCTTTTCCCTATTCGCTCTATCTCTCTTCAGCTGATAATCCAATTAATCTTCCAGCCTCAACTTTTTGGTCATGCTAATTAAATTGTAATTCTTTCGCACAAGCAATTAAGGATCTGCTGGCACATATTAGAGTGCATGGTAACCGTTGGAAATGAACCAATTGTTTGGTCTAATTTCTTCATTTTATTTCTTGATTGGTATTGCTAAGCAGCGAAAGGTTTAGCTTTGAGTCTTACTCAACCCGTGATTATCATCTGTTTAAAATTGTTGATAATCATAATGTCACCTGGAAGAAACTCCAGTTAATTCTTACAGAAAGAAAGGATATACCATTTTATCCACATATTCCACAGAAAATTTGCTATTCGACGTAGAAAGGTGGATATCACACTATGGTAAGAATTTCTTTTGGTTGTTTTATCCCAACAACAGGTACTAGAGACAAGTTCGGCGAGATGTGTATGATGATGGTAGATTGATGGCGTGGGGCTCGGTTTACTTTCCCTTACGAGCTCAGAGATTCACACAAATAAAAAGAAGCTAGTTGCGGGCTTTGGTTGCCGTAAATACTTTGACGATCGGGGTGGCACACAGTGAATCTCGGAAATTAACCCGTGGATCGTGGTAATAGGCCACGTGGAACTTAGTCTGAGGGAGAGACCCGTGGATCATGGTGATAGGCCACGTGGAACTTAGTTTGAGGGGAGGATTGTTGGGTGTACGAGCAAAGTCCCATATTAGTAGCTGAAAAAATTGGGAGTCTACATATAAGGTGTAGGGATCTCTTAATGGTGTGAAACCTTTTAGGAAAAACTGTGTGGCCCAAAACAAACAATATCATGCCATAGTAAGAGTATCTTCGGGTTGGTTGAGCCCAACAACTTAATTTGTTTTTATTAAGATTAAGACGTCTGAATCTGAATACACATCTGAATATTAAGATGTGCATTAAGATTTAAACGTCTGAATTTGAATACACGTTCCATATTAAGATGTTGTATTAAGAACTGAATACTGAAAAATTAAGATTATTTGTTTTCTCAGCAGCATCTGAATGTATACAATTTATTTTTATTTAAAAATTAATAATTAAATTCGAAATAAAATAGTAATTAATCTAATACTATATTAACAAAATATTTTTAAAAAATATAGGGTGATCGGTGATGGTGATGGCTAACAATGGCAGTTGTGGGTGCCAGGTTGTAATTTTGGCTGATAGCGGATAGTAATAGGTTTTAACGGTGATGGTTGATGGAGGTGGTGACTAGTAATGGTGGTTAGTGATTTATAGGGGTGGCTGATGATGGTAATTGTTCGTAATATTTAGTGGTTGCTATGGTAATGGTGGTTGTGATAATGGTAGTAAATGGTGACTAGTGGTGATGACAGTTGACTGTGGTGATTGATTGCAGTGGTGGTTGTGGCTGATGATGATGGTGGTGGTAGCCTATAATGGTGGGTGACGGCGGTAGTTGATAATGGTGGGCAGGGACGGTAGTGGTAGTGGTAGTGGTGGTTAGCCATGAAAGTGTATGTAGTGGTGAAACGCCATCTTTGCATAAATTCTTGAATGTATAATATCTTAATGATATTAAGACTTTGTTGTAAATTTTAATCACTAAGATCTGTTCAGATGCATTAAGTGATTTTAAAATGAAAAGAACAGACAAATTTAATGGTTAAAATCTGAATGATTAAGATAAACACACTTAATGACTGAGATCCTAATCGTTAGGATTCAAATCTCCATAACTGCAAACAAATGAGGGGGATAGTAGTGGGATGAGATTTTCTGAAATAAACGACATAGAGCAAAAGTGATTCAAATGAGGGGGATAGTAGTGGGATGAGATTTTCTGAAATAAACGACATAGAGCAAAAGTGATTCAAATGAGGGGGATAGTAGTGGGATGAGATTTTCTGAAATAAACGACATAGAGCAAAAGTGATTCAAATGAGGGGGATAGTAGTGGGATGAGATTTTCTGAAATAAATGACAGAGCAAAACAGATTCAGAGAGATAGGTGGTTAGATATGGTGAGAATAACACTGTAATGCATAGTGGTTTCTTTGGAACATTGGGAGGAGGAACTGTATGGGGAGGATGCTTTTATTGTATTTCCTTAGTAATCCAAGTGGATTATTTGCATTAATGATTATGCATCCAGGAAGAGCTGCATTCCCTATTTTTTTAATCGTCATTTTTACTCATATGGAATCGATATATTTAGAAATTCTATTTGCTTGTGGAACTTTCTTACAACATAGCAGTCGGTGATGTGCATTTTGACATTTTCCCTTTTTTGTTTTTTCTAACTCAAGCTTACATTTCTGACTATGATAATGCATCCTAAAATGCTAGGTGGAAGCTTCTGCAGACCTGTTGAGGCCAATTAGAGTTGGGGAATCTGCTTCTTTGAGAGTTGGCCAGCAATGTTTAGCCATTGGAAATCCTTTTGGGTTTGATCATACACTCACTGTTGGGGTTATCAGTGGACTGAATCGAGATATATATAGTCAAACTGGAGTGACGATTAGCGGAGGAATTCAAACAGACGCAGCCATCAACCCTGGGAACAGGTTTATTTTGCTGAACTTGTACTTGCCTTGGTATCAAATGCATTGCCTCTGATGCTGAAAATTTTTAAAGGTCCTTTTTTCCTTTTCTTTTCCAACTGCTGTTCTGTGAATAAATGTGTATATTTTCAGTGGGGGTCCTTTGTTAGATTCAAAAGGAAACTTGATTGGGATTAACACGGCAATATTCACTCAGACAGGTGAATAATTTTTCCATTGTGGTGTGTGTTATAGACTGTGAAGATTGAGAGGAATTGAAAAGGCACTTATTTATTGTTCGAAGTTTATACTCTTGTGCTATTACTGATTCTTTTTTGGTACAACAGGGACATCAGCAGGTGTCGGATTTGCAATCCCTTCTTCAACTGTATTGAGAATTGTGCCCCAGTTGATCCAATCTGGAAAAGTATTGAGTGTTTCTGCATTAATTCATGTCTTAGTTCTTGTCAGCTTCCAATTGAAAATTTTGTTCCTGTTCATTTCTTCTTTTTTCTCCGGGTTTTCCAGAATTCTCTTCATTTGCATTTTGTTACAG